AAAAAAAAAAAAAAAAACTTGGACTCCTAAGTTTTCCCCAGAGTAGTCAGAGCTGTTGTTGCTGGGTCCAGAGTCTTAAAAAACTGCCTGCTCTCCCACGGACTGGTTAATTTCTACTAATCCATTAAGGTAGATGAAATACTGAAAATCAAGCCCTTGTTTACTTCAAATCATCACAGAACATTTCTGCAAGTGGTTTCTGGGTCCATTTCAGATTTTGGTTTGCATTCTTCTCTGCAGAAGCTGTATAGTTTGCTTAGGTAGCCACCACCGTGTTGTTGAATTGTAGTCCTTTACCTGAGAGTCTAAGAATATCATTAAGAAGATGAAATCATGTTTCATAATAGCTCTTATTTCATTTGTTCATCAAATTACCTCATGTAATTTGGATTGACTTTGGAAAATCTACACATATTGGAGAGGACATAAGGTGATGTTTAGAAATAATTATGTCAAATAAGGTATTGTCTAACTGTACACCCATCATTCTAGTGTGGATTATGGGCAAGATCTTGTGTAATTTAGCCGGTACTACCAGAAGTGGTCAGGAGAGGGAGCAAGAGGAGTTTTTAGTGACTTGGTTTTCTTTTTGCTTTCATGAACTCAAAATTAAGACATGAGTAAAAGCCAGGATGAAGTTCCTGATGAAGTTGAGAACCAGTTTATATTGCGTCTGCCTCTGGTAAGAACTTTTATCTCAGAACAAATATCTCCAGTGCATAATTATAGTTCTACTTGGATTCTGTAATATTTCTATTTCAGGTAGGCTATAAAAACTCAGAACATTTGTTTCCCAGAAATCATGTTCTGTTAAGCAGTCCTATCTTAGCATGTACTTTTTTAGCAGCATTTTTTTCCTCCTGTACATACCACCTATCATGTAGGTTGATTTCCTGGCAAAACAGCTGTGACAATGATGAACCCAGTCACTTATCACCAATACTAACAGACTGTTCCCTGGACAGCCGAGATAAGACTCCTCTGAAATCCTTTCTGTCACCTCAATAGGGGCAGTGAGAAGGGCCACTATTGAGTCTCCTCTCAACACTATTGTGTCTCCTCTAAATTCACCAACATGCAAGACTTTCAAAGCTCATCTCAACAAGTATTTGGCTCTCTCCCCCCACACCGATACCTGTATTCTAGCATTACTTAGTCTAGACAACTATATTAAGGATGAGGTTCAGAAACCTATTTCCCTAATTAGGGTGAATTAATATACCAAGCAAACTGCAACTAGGTAAGCGTTTCTTGAGCAACTACAACAGAAGGGCAGCAGTGAGAGGCAGGATTGTAGAGCTAGGAGAAAGCATTAACTATAGCTACTAAGAGACAATTATGAGATTAGAGTCAGCTTCATCCTAACTTGACTTATACAGTGCACAGTACCTCATGGTACATGGCCTTGCTAGTAACATTGGGGAGGTATAACGTTTTATTTAAGGGAGGACTTTCTTTGACATATCTTTTCTGTTAGCTGCCAAGTTGACGTTTAGTTCTTCTGATTTTTCAATTTACCTCCCTTTTAGGAACACGCTTGTACTGTCAGGAAGCTAATACATTCTCAAAGTGTCGATATTAAGGACAAACTAAAAATTGACTTATCGCGTAAGTAGTTAATATCCATTCACTATACATTGAAAAATAATTTATTAAGGGATTGCTGTGTGCCAGGCACTATACTTGGTACTGAGGATGTGAAAAATGATAGAATATGGTCTCTGACTTAATGGACTCATGCTTTGGAGAGGCTTAAGTCCTCTTATTTTAAGAGGAAAGGAAGTAGGAATATTGCAACTTGAGTTGAGTGATTTTCATAGTGTGTTTAAGGAAACTTGGGGGTCAGCTGTGGGGTTTTCATACTGCTGGTAGTCTCCTATATATAAACTTTATGATTTCTGAACATCCAAGGGAATGACAAATGAATATGCTGTTTTTTGTTTTTGTTTTTGTTTTTGTTTTTTGAGATGGAGTCTTGCTCTGTAGCCAGTCTGGAATGGAGTAGCACAATCTTGGCTCACCACAGCCTCCACCTCCTGGGTTCAGGCGATTCTCCTGCCTCAGCCTTCCAAGTACCTGGGACTATAGGTGCATGCCACCATGCCCAGCTCATTTTTTGTGTTCTTAGTAGAGATGGGGTTTCACCGTGTTAGCCAGGATGGTCTTGATCTCCTGACCTTGTGATCCGCCCACCTTGGCCTCCCAAAGTGCTGGGATTACAGGCGTGAGCCACCACACCCAGCCTATATATTTCTTTCTTTTAAATAATATTTGCTATATTTGCAAATCGTACATGCAATTAGGGGGTTAATATCCAAAATATATAAGGAACTCAAATAACTCAACAGCAAGAAAACAACCTGATTTTAAAATGAGCAAAGGCTCTGAACAGATACTTCTCAAAAGAAGACATACAAGTGGCCAAAACGTTCATGAAAAAATGCTCAGCATCACTAATCATTAGGGAAACGCAAATTGAAGCAACAGCAAGATCACCTCACACCTGTTAGAATGGCTTTTATTAAAAAGGAGAACAATAACAACTGTTAGTGAGGATAAGGAGAAAAGGGAGCCTTTGTACCCTATTGGTGGTAATGTAAATTAATACAGCCATTTATTTATTTATTTATTTTTGAGATGGAGTCTTGCTGTGTCATCCAGACTGGAGTGCAGTGGCATAATCTCACCTCACTGCAACCTCCGCCTCTTGGGTTCAAGTGATTCTCCTGCCTCAGCCTCCTGAGTAGCTAGGGCTAGAGGTGTGCACCACCATGTC